CAATGCTCTTAACCTCTGAGCCATTTCTCCAAACCCCCTCCAACCATTCTTAAGACTCACGAATCAAGACACAAGAAGACAGATGAGTGTCTCTGCCAAGTTTTCACATAGGGAAGCACATGCCCATTGACCACTTCAAAATCTTATGAGTGCCCTTCCCCTGTAGTGATGACTACCTTATATGCCATCCTCAAGCCTCATCCAGTGGCTGATGGAAGTAGAGGCATCACCCACAGCTAAACACTGAATTGAACTCTGGAACCTAGTTGCAGAGAGGGAGGAGTGATGAGCAAAGAGATCAAGACCAGGCTCGTGAAAACCACAGAAATAGCTGACCTGAACAAGGGGTTGCTCATGGACCCGAGACTGGTGTCTGGGAGGCCATCATGGGACTGATCCAGACCCCTGAACTTGGATGTCAGTGAGGAGGCCTCGGCACTCTATGGGGCCTCTCGTACTAGATCAGTATTTAACCCAGGAGTAAGAAAAGACTTTGGGAGCCCATCCCATGTGGAGAGAATGCTCTCTCAGCCTGGACACATGGGGGAGGGCCTAGGCCCTGCCCCCATGATATGACAGATTTTGGGGATGCCCCATGGAGAGCCTTACCCTCCCTGTGGAGCAGAGAGGGGATGGAAGGAGTTTGGTGTGGGTTAGGGGAGGAGGGGAGGGAGAGGTAGCTGGTATTGAATTTATAATAAAAGTATACATTCTATTAATACAAAAAAGTAACTCACAGAAATATAATTAATGGAAAGGCACACACTGAAAAGTTTCAGAATATGAGTTAAACATGATTAAACACATTTAATTCTGAAATACTATTAGCATAAGGAATGAGGAGCATACAAAATAAAAGAAAGAGAAGGACAGGGAATGAGTCAGCAGAGATCATCAACAAAAGACACTAACACTGTGGAAAGCCACAGCCAGGCATTGACATCTGAAGTCAAAGACTACAATAGAGAACTCCCAACCATCTCAGGAAGTTCCAGAAACAGGTGGCTGTGCAGATAGGACTAAAAATCTGCCATGACAGCATGCATGCCCAGAATATGGGCTTTTCTGCATTGCTTCTGTGTCATTAGCTAGAGAGGAGCCTGCATCTCCACACCCCAGAACAATGACATAATCGACTTTAAGAACAAAGCCTGTTTTGGAATCGAAGATAAAATACGTGTTTCATACTAAACACTGCATGCCCACCCCCAGTAGACAGCAAACCAATTTGTCTGAATGAGCCCAGCAGGGTTCTGCCCTCCAGGAAATGTGGAAGACTCTCCAGCAGGGAAACTTAGGGGCCTAAGAGAAAATATCCACAGAGTTGACATTTTAGAGCCACCCAAGCAGATGGCTTTGCAGTTGTCCACAAGCTCCCCACGCTCAAAGAACTAGAAATTTTTATTCAGATCTTCCTACCTCAAGCAGGTTTAAATGCCAAAGCATGAAGAGATACCTGGAAGAAGTTTCTGGAAATAAATGCAGAAATCAAAGTTAAGAATGAAAAAAAGAATCAGAGAGGTAATCAGAAATCCTCTCTAAAAGTTAAATATCTCTAGGGGGATAAGAGGGATGACTGTATCCTTAGCATCAGAATGATTTTTAAAGTAGATGAGGTGAAGGAGGAAAAGGCTTGCAGAAAAGAAATAGCTATGGGAATTTTCAAATAGTTGAAAATATTCAATAAAAAGATGGGTGATAAATTAAGGATGTTTTGAAAATATAATGGCAAAGGGATAGAAATTAGGAAAAAATTTATTTTACGTGTGTGTGTGTGTGTGTGTGTGTGTGTGTGTGTGAGTTTTTTTTAAAAATTTGTGTGTGTGTGTGTGTGTGTGTGTGTGTGTGTGTGTGTGTGTGTGTGTGTGTGTGTGTGTGTGTGTGTGTGTATCAGGTAATTGGTAATTATTGCTGGTGGCCCAACATCCAACTGGAAGTTTATTAGAAAGAAAAAAGTTACCAAACTTAACAAAAATAACATAAATGTTTTCAGAAATGGTGAATATAACTTTTCATACTATTTTACCACTGAGGCTGAACAGGGTACATGATTAAAAGACCAACATCTAATCTCCTTGTAAAATTTCAAAACACACAATAACAGTTCCATAAATGGAGACCAACCATCAGATATTCAAGTTAGCATCAGACTTAAAGACTGCATGAAGAGATAGACAGAAACCAGCAAAGCCTGTTTCATTCTGTTGCTGTGAAGACACCAGGAAGGAAAGCAGCTTTCAGGAGGGGAGGGCTCATTTGACTTACACTTCCAGCACACAGTTCATCCAGGGCAGTCAGGGTAGGAACTCAAGCAGGAATGTGAAGAAATGCTACTCAGTGGCTCCCTCAAAGCCTCATGAAAGTCTAGCTTTCTTCTACAGCCCAGACCACCTGCTTAAGAAGTGTTGCCACCCACAGTGGGCTGGGTCCACCTAAACCAGTTAACCATTGAGACACTACCCCACAGATGCACACATAATTCCTTAATCTAATCTTTCCTAGACTGTAGTAATATAAAGCTGACAAAGTTAAAGGACAAGGCCTTATTTCTAATATAAAACTCTATCCCCAGCTGCATTTTAATTAAGTTGTAAAAACAGGATCAGTTAAATTTGACTAGTATTTATCACTTTGCACCAAAACCAACTAAATTGATCAAAGACCTAAATGTGAAACCTGAAACTTGTAGAAGAAAACATAGGTAATACCCTACAAGAAATAGGCATACCCCAGTAATTAAGGCCAAAAACTGACAAATGGGACATCATAAAACTGACTCTAAAAAAATGACTCTAAAAATCTTTGACACAGCTGGAGTAAAAATCAACAGGGGAAGAAGAAACCCACAGGACGGGAGACAATCTTTGTCAGCTATGTATCATCTGACAGAAGATTGGTATCCAAACTATATAAAGAACTCAAAAAACTTTACACATTTGAAAAGATAGTCCTGGTATCTGAACAGTATTCTCAAAAAAATGGCTAATAAATGTCTAACAAAATATTCACTGTCCTTGGCAATTGGAAAAACTGGTAAAGCTTTTTTATAAAAACAGATAAAATTTTTGTAAGTTTTGATATAGCCGACACTGAATCATTTTGGTTACTGTTTATTCTGTGAAGTCTAGTCTTTGTTATTATTAAATGATAAAGGATCCTAAAATGCACTGTCTTACAGTGTAATCATTTTATGATTATACATTTTTTTAGTTCTGAGGTCTCAGAGATCTGTGGAGATCCATGACCAGTTGCTGAGGCCCCTACTATGTCACATCTCAAATAAGACTCACTCAAAAGACCTGTTGGCATCTGTTCCTTACAGTCTGGCTTTTCTGCAGCATGGCTCCAAGACTAGACAGAGCTTTCCTTTAATGGCCAAGTGTCATGAGCCATGCATACAGCATCACTTCCTCCACAGACAAAGCCTACACCTAAGTCTAAAGCACAGAAACACGGGTCCTACTTCCCAACAGTGAGGGTTTGCAACGGTGCCTGCTGAAGAGACTGGAAAGGGATATCTGGACTCTCCAGGACACGTATGGGCTCCCAGGTGTCTCTGCTTACACATATGGGTAATAACTATCTTCTAAGGGACTGTACTCAGACCAGCATATTTCAAACTGTATACTTTGGATGTGTGAGCAATTTCAAAAAACTAACTTCTACATCCCGAACTTAAAATACATGCCTGAGAATACTCATGCTGGCTGCTCCTGTCTTTGTCACACTTAAAAAAAAGGGGGGGTGGAGCCTGTCAAACACTTGACCATTTTACTAATGGATGTTGACATCAAGTAGAAGGATCTCTAGCTGCAAACAGTAGCGCAGCTCAAAATATTGGAACTGTGCTGAGAAGGAAAATGACTCTAATAACTGAATAATGGTCCTGAAATTGTTTCAATTCTTTGTCTTTAATAAAGTTGAAAGAAGTCCTAATTGAGCTGACAGCTGGTAGATCATTAAAAATAATTTTGATGATAGATAGTGAAGCGATTGTGGGCATATAACTTGGAAGGAGTTCAACTGTTTGAGTGGCTCTGCTAAACCAATGCTCCACTCCTAGCTACTTATTTATGGAAATGCATCTTCTCAAATCTTATATCTACAAGAAAAGGAAATAGAATAGATTGATTCTGTCATTGTCTCCTTCTAGAAATAAGTAATATTTGGAGGCATATGTTTGTTGAACAAAAATAGCCCAACTGTCAGAACAATGGATGCGTGTTAGAAATAAACTTTTATGTTTCTCTGAATTCAAAAGTATTTATGTGGTTTAGATTGTGTACTATTTAAGCACACTGAAGTTTTAATTCAGAAGAAATGTTAGCATCTACATTCTCATGGTCACAGATTTTAATTTCTTTTTCATGGATGTACATTTTCTACAGCAGGAAGAGGAAGATTCCTAAAGGACTTTAAGGCAGAAAGAATTTGCAATGCCTATTACAGATGAATCTGTGGAAGTGTTTTAATATGGATTACACCTAAACAGATTCTTTTCAAGAGATAATCAAGTTTTTGTGTTAGGTCTTAAAACACTCCATAGAATGTATATTTTACAATTATTTAAGTTTAGAATGAGAGATTGAGGAATATAAGGGGTATCTTCAAATTTAAAATCATTTATTTATATTAAAATAGCCTTCCAAAAGCATGAAGTGGGAGCCTAATTCCACATAAACTTTTTTATTATATTCCACAAAAAGATGCCTCTGGACCTCTTCCCATCCCACTCAGCTCCCTACTGTACCTGTGTGCATCTGTCAGCACAGGAGAAACTCGAAAGTCTTCCTTCAAATCCAGTAGATTAGTGTAACTCAATATTGTTATTTTCCTAGACCCAGCTAACTAGAGCTGCTGAGAATACTAGTTTTTAGTCAATAGGAAGGAACATGCCTATAGTAGTAGTAGTAAATAATAATAATAATAATAATAATAATAATAATAACTTCCAAACTGTAAACTTTGGAGGAATAAGGAACACAGAGACACACAGAATAGACAGTTGTCCATTTATTTTGAAGGCTGTTGAAAATGTCTGCCATACACAAGACTTAGGAATCCAGATGTGAGCTCTCTGCCTCGGTGCCCTCCTCAAACAGTCTTGAGGACATTATTGCCCCAGTGCTCACAGGATATATCCTAATGTCTATGAGTGGAGTGCTGAATGATGGAAGGAATTGAGGTTCATATCTTTGGGAGTCACTAGGCAGCCCTTGCCACCTTCAGCAATTTTCATATTAAGTGCTAATTTAATTTGAGTTCTAGCATCTGAACTGTAGTTTCCACTTCAGCACGGACTCTAACTGCATCCATGCCACCTACAGTGTGTTGTGATGTAGCTTCATGTGCCTACCCTACATGGCTAAACTACATACTTCAGAAGGGTGAGTCTGAGAATCCTTGTCCCTAAAAACATTCCCTAGTTGATTCACATGCACAGAATTGATGAAGAAGAATCAATTTAGTAATAAGAAAAGCTAGGGCAACTCATCTAAAGGTTATAAAAGCAGGAAATAGAGGCAAAGTCTCTTTATTGGAGAAAATGTCAAACACTGTGCCAGACCCAGCACGGTCTCATCAGCCCTCTTGTAGGTGGTGTGCCAGGACCTTGACTGAACTTCAGGCAGCAGAGGAAAACAACCAAATGCTGCTAGAAACCAACCATAAATGAGAGGGACTGAGTGGGATGGGGAGCTGTTCTAAGAGGACACAGCAGAGAACCTGACTGCTATGGAAGACAGAGAGGATCCCCATGCCCCAAGCAGCAGACAACCTTGAAATGTTTCTTTATTCCAAGTCTGTGACTGCTAAACAAATTAATCCCCCAAATCATTGGTTTAGCTATTTAAAGGTCTGTCAAATAGTGTGTGGAACCTTCTATAAAAATTAACTGGATGCATTTTTTACTTTTTTTTGCTATTAAACATTTGAAACTGTGTCAAATGATAGTACACTAGGTAAAATCTATTTAAGAAAAAAATCAGTAATTATCTGCCTAGTTTGGACCTCCCAGGCAGCCAACTCCTGTTTGACTTTCCTGACTCATAATCCCTAGCACTCTCAAAGGAGGAGGTGGTACGGAGATCAACTGTTCATCTTAGAAAAGGCTTGCCAACCTAGCTCCCTGTAATTCCTCTAAGGCGTTTGAAGTCTACTGTTGCCAATCCATACTTAGGCTCCCAGCTGCCCATAGTCTAGGAAGGAAGGAATGGCCTTTCTGTAACTGTCCTGGGGCCCCATGTCTATACCTTGTTAATTTTGGCTTGATTGCTGACATAGTGAGGGCAAGCAGGCAAAGAATGAACATAACTTCCTTCTTCCATTGTTCTTATATAGGCTTCCAGAAGAAGGTATGGCCCGGATTAAAGGTGTGCCTTCTCACCTCAGGATCTAGATCAAAAGCCTGTTCTTTCAGTCTCAAGATACTGATCACAGGTGTGCCCTCTATTTCTGGATTGCAGTTCATTCCAGATATAGTCAAGTTAACCACCAGACATAGACAGATTTCTGTGAATTTGAGGCTAGCCTGGTCTACAGAGTGAGTTCCAGAGCAGTCAGTGTTGTTACACAGAGAAACCCTGTCTTGAAAAACAAAATATAAACAAACAAACAAAAAAGAATAGCCACCACACCATCCAAGTGGGGATGTTTACTTTCACTCATAAATTTAGGAATCAATGTTGAATCTGAAGCAGCTCCAACTTAGCCAAAAGGTAAACATTAGAAAAACATCCAAATAAGTGGAGACCTGCAAGCTCATAACACTACTGAGAAACCTGAGTGAGTGTGTGTGTGTGCCCTTTTCTCATCATGTCACTGTTCTTTCAGACGACACAGCAGTGCTTGGGGAAGGACATTACCTACTGCCTTTCTTTGAATCTGGGAATCACCTGCAAACATCCTTTCCCTTGGAGAGCCTGAAGCAGCACTCAAGAGGGAGTTGGTGTTTCAATACATTGTTCTTATTCAGAGGCCTCCTGAGGGTGAGTCACACTTTTCCCTTGTACCTCAGTCTTTCCTCTTAATTAAATGTCTACTAGCATTTAATGGTATTTTAGGTCTTTAAATGATTTTTTATTGTCTTTAATAAATTTATCAATGGACAGCATCTTCAAAAACTCAAGCAATATCATGATCTATAAAACAAAATCAAAGGAATAGTTTCAATTCACTCAAGAAAACTGTTAAAAGTGGGAGCAAGTGTGTCTCTGACTCTTCTACCTGCTCCTGGGGCTCTTTTCCTCCTGTTGGATTGCCTTGTCCAGTTTTTTTTGTGAAGGCTTCTGCCTGTCTTATTGTGTTTTACTTTGTCATGTGTCATTGTTGTCTCTTTTCTGACAAGAGGATATGGGGAGAGGGTGGATCCTGGAGAGAGGGGAGATGGGATGGGTTGGGAAGAGTGGAGGGAGGGGAAACTGGTCAGGATGTATTGTATGAGAGAATATATTTTCAATTTGAAAAAAGAGATTTAAAAAAAACTGCTACATATGTGTTGACTCCATTCTTAGACTAGGATGAAAGCCAACACTTGAATGACATAGTCAGGCCATGGTTACAGCTTTTAACAGTGCTGTGTTGGATACGTGACAGGTGCTCAGACTTACTGCCCAAACCCTGACTGCCCAGAGAGTTGTGCTGATACTGTCCAAGGATTGCTGAAGAAAATGGAAAGACAATAAGAGGCACTGCTTATGCTAGAAGATGAACTAGTGAATGTGTGCCTTTTTTTTGTTAGTAAATTAACCTGTTAATTCTGTGAATTGCTGTTGTTGTCAAATGCTATGTACTCAATAGACACATAATCCTTACCTGGCAAGAATATATTCCTGATTAACAGTGGAGGGATAATAGGAAAATCGGCAGCCAGATACAAAAGGCAATCAGGGCAGAGCCACTGCCAAATGGCACTGAGCCTCACACATTAGGAAATCGGATTTGATCTCCACAAATCAGTAGCTGTGACACTGTGTATGTCCTTGAGCCTGCATTTCTTGATCTGTGAAACAAAGTAATAACACCTCACTCATGAAGCAATGGAGGATAATAGATGTAAAAAATGCTTTGTAAATTTTAAAGTAGCTAGAAATATAAGATACTATTAATTCTGTTTCTTGTTAGTGTCACCCGTGAGCTATGAAAGCATAGTCACAGTCCTGGAAAGTACAAATTTAAGATGAAGCATTTGTCAAAGCCATCCCATTGGAAGAAGCAATATAAACAGTTTAATGAGTAGTCATACTTTTCCAGATACAGTGGCGGATGAAATATCACTGAAGATATTAAACAAGCCTCTATCTTAAAAGGATGTACTGAAATGCACATAAGGCCCACAGGATGATTCCATAGGCTCCCCTAGGAGTGTCTACGAGCAATAACACACCTGTGCTGTGATGTGATTCAGGTAAGAGGTGGGTGCTGGTCCTGGGGCAGATCTGTGTCCCCCTCTACACATCTCTAAACAGTGAGTGCTCTGCAAAAACAGGAGAAACCACAGTTCATGTCAGTGTAAGAAAGCACCCAGAACAGAATCATCTTCACAACTGCATCACTGAGGTTCCTGGAACACCCAGACCAGGGGAGTGCTAGACACAGTCACTCCTTACAATGTGACTGGATAACAGCAAGGCTTCTCTTGCGACTGAGTTCACTGAGCCAGAGGAGGTTTAATTGCCCATCACTGCCCCAGGTCATTCTTTCCAGGAAGACCCCACAGGTTCCAAGAATGATCTTCCAACACCACCATGTACTTATCCCATAATTAAATACATACATACATACATACATACATACATACACACACACACACACACACACACACACACACACACACACACTGCTTGAATAAATAAACTGTGGTGTAATTGTGCATCACAATATTCTAAAACAATGAAAAGAAGTGAACTTACAAATTCATCAAGAGCATGTGGAAATCTAATCAGCAAGGAAAGAAGCAATGCTGTTAGCAGCTAAGACTTTGTCAAAACCACCGAGGAGAGGGAGGATTTGTTTTGGCTCAAAGCTTTTTGGAAGCAGGTATCCTGGGCCAAGAAGTTCACACCTTGACTGACAGGAAGCAGAGAGGCATGCTGGTGCTGGGCCAGTCTCCTCCCCTTTCCAGTTAAACTGGGGCTCCAGCCTGTGGGATGGTAGTGTGCTCACTCAGGATAGATCTACTGCTCACAGTTAATACTCTCTGGAAATGCATTCTTACTCACACTAGTCCCTGCATTTTTCAATCCAATCAAGTTAACAATCAAGGCTAATCATCAATGACACAACCTGTCCCGAGGGCTCCATCCAACCATAGAGACACTTGCTCATCCACGTCCATTGCTGTTCTCACAGTAGCCAGGAAATGGGGTCAAGTTGCATGTCCATCAACAGAGACTGGATAATGAAAATATGGTATGTGCACAGTGTGAGATCTTTTTAACCAAAAGGAAGTAGAATTACAAAGTTCTTGGGAAAACAATAGGGAGAATTTGAAAACGTTTCATTAGCCGAGGTGACCCATGGTCAGAAAGACAAATGCCATACGTCCTCTCTCAGATGTAGACCTTAACTTCTAATCACACACACTATCTAGCCATTGACAAGTGCACAGAATCCAAAACAGGTGGTGATAACTAAGGCAGCACTTCTTTACAATCTTGACTAAATTTCATCCCAGCCAAAGGTATAATCAAGTCCTCCTCCAGTGTCTTCTTGGTTCTGATATATGAACCATTAGGCACATAGTGGAAAGCTATACAGTTCTTATTTTGCTGATCCCTTGACTGATGGGAGAAAAGACAGGAAATCTGGATCGGGTAGGCATACCATTATGACAAAACAAAACTGTGAATTTGGACATTTTTTTTTTCTTCCTCAACTTTCCTGTGCCTCTCTCCACGTCATTTCTGTCCCATCTCCCTTCTTTCTTCCTTTCACTTTCCAGGGGATTGCTAAGGGCATTCATTGATTTTCTGTGTTTTTCAAGATTCTTCAAAAAAAAAAAAAAAGAATCAACAGGAGTATGATATGTGTGTGTGTGTATGGGTGTGGGGTGTGTGTGTGTGTGTGTGTGTGTGTGTGTATTGCACACACATGTGATATACCTATATTATATATAAAGAAATGTACTATGAGGAATTGGATCACATTATAGATGCTGAGAAGCCCCCAAGACTGTAGCCTGAGAGCCAGAGATCAACTCCAGTCTGAGTCTGGGAACCTAGATTAGGCTTGCTATGAGAAACTAATGTTTCAATTATGGTCCTAGGGTAGTGGGAACTGATGGCCCTACTGAAGCCATCAACTTGGAAGAGTTCCTTCCTACTATCGTGGAGCTAGTCTTTTGTCCCATTGGAGTCCAGCTCCCTGTGTTGGGGCTGCTCACATCGAGAGCAATCTGCTATTACTAAACATCCTCACAGACACGCCAAGATTAGCAAATGACCAGATACCTGGACACCTATGGTACAGTTAAGCGGACACAAGATTAGCCACCCACAGCCTGGAGGTTGGAAAGAAAATTCTAAAATAGTCTGGATGTTCTGTCTCCTGAACCACAACGCTTGGCACAACACCTGACAAGAAGCCAAAGTTCATTGGTAGAAGAGGTTGTGGTGATGTCTACTGACACATTGGCCCATGCAGTTCCCACACACTACGTGGGCAATGTTCACAAATGTCCTACGTCTTAGCATAAAGGCAACCCTTGAGACATCATCCACTTCAAGGAAAGGTAAACTCTGACTTGGCAGCTTTGGGCCTGAAGCTCAGATGCCTGGAACTGTTCTGTCCTTTATGTTCCTATGGAAAGTCAGCTTGTGAGAGGAACAGCCCAGGGGAGACTGAATATCATCTGCGCTCAGAATCAATCAGCACATAAATCCAGGTTCACCTGTGGATTTCTCAGGGTCATGAACCAGTAAATTCCCTTTGACTTAAGGTGAGTAAATGCCACTTGCAACAATAAAGCTCCAAACTGTTGTAAAACTGGATGCTAGAAGCCGTGTACTGTACATAACATGTCCTGAAATGTGGTTCTCACAGAGTCCAGATAAGCAGAGAGAGAAGAGTCCATTCCTTGGATCACAGAGTGGGTTGTGTGCTGTGCATGGAACTCAAGGCAAACAGCTGGAATCTGTGGCTTCTGTGAAAAAAAGGAAATGTTGACCCCACCAAAGGCATGAAATAAACCTGCAACCACATGAAGGGAGGTTGGCTAAGGTGCCCCAACCCAAGGGAGGCAAACCAGGAGGACACTGATCCCAGTAACACATTTGGAAGCCTGACACCAAATCTGTCAGTCTAGATCAAGCCTGGAAACAAGCCACACTGAGAGACCAAACAAGGCAAGCTTCGTACAATGAATTGTGTATTATGAAATACAAGACTTCTCTGGTGCCCTTGGGTTGAAGGAGAGTGCCTAAGCAAGGACAAATTGGGGACCCCCCCCCACCAGCTGCATGTGTTTAAGACCCTTTAGGATGTGGCCCTAAGACTGACCTAGGCTATCTGCACATGTTACAGTTTTGTAGTGTGGTCTCCTTGTGGTGCTCCTAACAGTGTGAGCAGAGTCTCTGACTCTGTTGCCTGCTGTGAATACAGGACAGTGGAGTGATTGGCCCTAAATAGGTTGTTGATACCACTCACTGAAAGGCTTAGGGAACACTGCAGAAGAACCCACAGGAGAGCTGCAGGGGCAAGGGGATGCTGTGAAATCCAAATGTGACTCGACCCCTGCCTTCATGAATTTACTGCAGCTGCAGTTACCAGGCAAGACTGAGCCCCTTGACTTTTCATCACAGAGGGGAAGGCTCATGAGGCACTACCCTGTGCCTGGGGGAGGATTGGCAATTAATGTCATCTGTGAGAAACAATGTAACTTTCCTCAGTGCTGGAGCTACTGAGAAGTTGCCTGCTTCCAGTAAATAGCCTCCCACCCACACTCACACAGACAACCCTAATTAAACTAATTAATGAATGAATGAAACATAATTAAACTCTGTGGGTCACACACACCAAAAAGACATGAGGGGATGGCGACTTTTGGGGGAAAAATACATTACAGCTGAAGGAGGCATGAGAGAGGATAATGGGGATGAAAATGACTGAAATTCATTGTGTGTGTGTGTGTGTGTGTGTGTGTGTGTGTGTGTGTGTGTGTGTATGAAATTGTCAAAGAATGGAAAATGAATTTTAAAAAAGAAGGGAGGACCTACAGGAAAAGCTTCATCAAACTGGGAACATGAAAATATTTAACTGTTATTATCTATAATAATAATTTATCCTAAGTTTTCATCTGCTAAAAATTGCCCTTAAATCTTCCTGGTAAAAGAATTCTGCAATGGCAACAGAATAAGACTTGAAAAGGAAGCACTTATTTTCAGTAAAAAAAGAAAACCATAGAGAATTCTTTCCATTCTGTTAGTGGTGGTGCATACCTTTAATCCCAGCACTTGGAAGGCAGAGACAGGCAAATGTCTGAGTTTGAGTCCAGCCTGGTCTACAGAGTGTTCCAGGACATCCAGGGCGACACAGAGAAACCCTGTCTTGAAAGAGAAATAAAGAATCCTAAGTAAACAAGCATAATATGACAGATTATTTCTATAAAAACTGAAATATCCAAGACTAAAGACCATTCTCTCTCTCTCTCTCTCTCTCTCTCTCTCTCTGTGTGTGTGTGTGTGTGTGTGTGTGTGTGTGTGTGTGTGTTTTAAGAGACAAAGCTTCCAAGGAACATAATTTAGGATTTTTTTTTTTTTTACTTATTAGTCTTTTTTCAATGTGTGTACCCCCGCCCATGTGTTGGGGTATGCATGCATGCAGAAGTCAGAGATCAGTTTAGCTTCCTCAATGGTTTCTGCACATTGTTTTTTGAGGCAAGGTTTCTCCCTGAGTCTGAAGCTCACTGACTGAATGGCTATACTTGCTGACCAACAAACCCCAAGATACCTTCCTGTTTCTGCCTCCGTCTACTCTGGGATGACAGGTGAGCAGCGCTCTACCCAGCTGTTCATGCAGGTGCAGAGGATTCTAACTCAGATCTCCTTGCTTCCATGGCAAGCACTTTGCCAGCCGAGGCAGCTCCTCAGCTCCTCTGCTTCATGTTTTTGATGCTAAGACAGCCACTTTATGGAATACGCACCAAAAAAAGTACATATAGCATAAGTCCCATTTAAGTAACACTGGCTCTTGGAAATTTTGATTTAAATATTCAGACTTATTTGTTTGCTTTACAATTTTTCCTAAGTGCTTCAGTATTCTTCGGTTTTTATAGTCACAAACCTTTGTTATTAGAAGCCTTACTTCACCTCAAATACTTTATGTACTATTTGAAAAAAAAAAAAGAAGTACCTAGGGGGAAATTCCTGTAAGAAGAGTAAACCCAATTTAACAGAAAATATAGAAAATTGTTGATGAAGTGCTTTGTGTGTGCATGTTCCACCCAAAGGAAGCATCAGCCAGGCTCTGGAGTGTGCGGAGAATGGAAGACACGCGGCACTGGTGCTGGGTAATGGCTCATTTTAGTGTCAGGTTGGTTGTATTGAGTGTCAACATTATATAGCAAGTTCCCAAGGGGATTGAGGAAGGGGCTGGGTGGGGGGATTGAGATCTCAGCCCCTCTACTGTTAGATGAGCTCACAGGCTACAAGATAAAAGTTACATATACTGTGAGGGCCAGGCAATAGCTAGTTTTATTGCTGTGGTTCAAACTATTCATGAGTTTATGTGTGTTTTTATGGGGAGACTGCATTTAAATAACATTCTAACATGAGATTTGCCAGAGAAAACAAATCCTGTGAATTGCTGTCCTGATTTGTAGACTCTGTTTCCCTTTCAAAAACAATGGCACAACAGTCAGGACATTAGACCATTCTCAGTTATAACAATGGATTGCATGCTTGGTTTAAAATATCCAAAATGGGGTTTGGAGAGACAGTTCAGCAGTGAGGAGCACTGCTGCTCTTCCAAACAACCAGGGTTCAGCTCCCAACATCCACACGGTGGCTCACAACCACTTTTTCCTCCAGTGCCAGAGATCTAACCCCTCTTCCGGCATTCTGCAGCACCAGGCCCTCGGGTGGTGAACAGACAGACATTCAATCACTCGAGATACATAGAAAACATTAAAGTAATAACAAATATCCTTTTAAAGTATCAGAAATACATTTTGTGTGTATGCAAGGAATTCCCTGTGTCACCTATAAAAAATACTCATCTCTACAGTCCACAGAAAGTCTCCTACCACCTCCTCTGTGCCATGTTTCTGCTTTGGAAATCTGTCTGTTGTAGGGGAAAGTCAAAATTTGTAAAAGTCTTTGATTCCCATGGACCCACTAAGCACCATGTTTCACATGGGACATAAAATAATGATTATGTATACATATTGGTACAATTCCCAAAGTGTGTCTTTGCCCAAGAGAAGCAGGGGCAAGCAAAGGGGGAGACAGGGATATTCAACTCACTTACCCATGGTGCAGCACAGGCTCCAAAAACCAAATGTCATCGAAATGGAATTGAGTTTTGAAAGAAACATATGTAGTTAAAAATTTCAGCCATTTTGTCAGACTACCTCTCAGGTAAGTATGGTTTAGCGAATTCCCACTGCTCTAGGGGCAGGCTCCTTATGACTGAATTTGTATTCCACCCTCTAGTACAAGTAAGATGAAGACTAAAACTCTACCACAGCATGAGCAACTGGAAAATGTTTCTTAATACACGCATAGACATGCACAGTATGTTTAAGAATCTGGTCAGTTAATGTTCAGTCAAGACTTTAAGTGAAGAGCCAGGCTGCTAAGGAGCAAATATGAACTAGGCAGAGGGTATGAGAGAACATGGGTGTTTCTAGCATAGAGAACACTTTACATGCTTGACAGTGAAAAGAAAGTTGTAAAATGACAGAAACTGAGCACATAATAAATGGCATAATTTCAGAGCAATAACTAGCCCAGGGGTAGAAGTTTGGAGACAAGGGCAAAAGTCAGGAAAGCAGAGTGATGGTGTCAGGAGGGCAGAAGATGATGATGAGAGCTGCAAGTCATCTCAGAGGAGGCAAGAAGGTCAGATACCCTTGGCACAGTGATGAGGCCGGCAAGGAGGGAAGGGAGCAGACAGAACCATGACAGTAAACAACCTTGAGGCAGAGGCGTAAAGGCTTCAAGTGTGTAATGCTGACTGTCTTGGTGAGGCAGAAAAATGATCTACAAAGCACAAAGCTTAAAATGTGATGAGATTGCATGTCCACAGAGGAAATGGGCTGAAAGGGTCTGATGAAAACTTGTAGGAGCACAGAGAGGCTGGACAGAACAAAGACAGAACGGGCCGTTGGCAGTGAGACGTGCCCTATCAATACTCAATCCCTAGTTGAGGATCAGAACAGAAGTGGACCACGGAATGAGGGAGGCCTGGAGTGTGCTGGGGCTTAATGGTACCAGTGTCAGGTTTAACTCAATGGCCCCCGGTTGCCTGTGTGGCTTAAAAAGAAATGAAACACAAGCAGACTCTCGAAGGAGAATCTGCAGGGTGAGAAGCAGATGCTCGCTCTCCCACACATCACCTCTCTGTGGCGTCTTCAGCCTTCCCCTCCACGCTTCCTGTGTCCCTGCAAATCCACGGCTCTGCTACCCCCTGCTTAAGAGCTTCTCCGTCCTTAACTCTCCCCCTACCACCCGGCTCAGTCCTCAAGACTCACCTAGGACCTCCCTTGTTAAAGGCCCCTATGATTAACTGCTACCTGATAAAGCAGGAAAGGAAGAAGGGAGAAGGGAGAGAAGGAAAAGCTCCTCATATTCTTCCCCTTCCTATAGATACACACCATTATCTCACAGGAAAAAAAAAAAAAAAAAACCACATGATGCTGGTCAGACCAACTGTTAGTATTTAGGCCTCTGTACTGGCCTGTCCTTGGGGTTCTGATAGGACACGCCCTCAGCTGCTGCCACTAAGAGCACCACCACCTGTGCCTATTCACTATGTTCCCTTTAAAAGGGCCCTTCGTGCCTCCCATCCCTCTCTTTTTTCTCTCCCTCTCTGTCTGTCCCTCTCCCTCTCTGCCTCTCTTTTCTCTCCCCCACTGCTCCTGTCCCTGGAGGTCACTATCCCCCTTTGCCCTTTTTTTTGATCCTATTACCCTAATTAAAAAAAAAAAAACCTCCATTTGAATTCTGTTGCATGGTGTCTTTCTCAAGACTTATCATTACATACTTTTTAAAAAAAATTATAACACCAACAGTTTCACAACACTTCCACAATTTCCAGGCAACAACTGAAACTAACACAATTCCAGTTCCAGCCTAACTCAGTGAGGAGGTGAATGTTTGCCCTTCTGGAGCAATACCATCAAGAAGACATAGGGAGTCTGAACAGAACACCAAACCACACCCAGAACTTGAGGATGGATCCCAATCAGCTACAGAACTGTCAGGAATAAGTCAAGCCATTAAATTTTCACTTAAACTTTAAGCCATAGGGGCTGGAGAGATGGCTCAGAGGTTAAGAGCACCGACTGCTCTTCCAGGGGTCCTGAGTTCAATTCCTAGCAATCACATGGGGGCTCACAACCATCCGTTATGAGATCTGGTGCCTTCTTCTGGTTGCAGACATACATGGAAGCAAAATGTTGTATACATAATAAATAAATAAAATCTTAAAAAAAGAATTCTTTATTAAAAAAACTTTAAGCCATAAACTGATAAATGATATGGTTCCCATTTTAACTCAGATACAACTGCTCAAACTTCCTACTGCATTCCTTCTTGCACTGTGGGGTGTTTGATGGGGGGCACAGTTGCAGTGGCAGGATACAGTAATCCATCTAAACTGCCTTAAATGTGAATGAAATAAGTGGTGGGAGGAGAAGAGATATGTCATGCTCTGCCATGGGAATTTCAAAGACAAAGATTTCATAAGTAGATCTTTCATCAAGACATGAAAATGGTGGAAGTGAAACTGGCTAATAACACGTAGCCAATTAATTCATGTGAGGATTGGAGGATCATTGAAGAGGTGTAGAATTGTGGCCTCAAATGACTACAAGATCTATATGGAGTGAAACTCAATGGAAAGACAGACTGTAAATGAGAGTTTTAAGTTATAATAAGGTGCCTACAGAAATAGTAGACAATTAAGATTCTGGTCCAAGTTTCTGCTCAACATGTGCCCAAGGGGGAGAAAGTAAGTCTCCCCAGGCTTGTGTGGATGTATGCCACAGTTACAGAGAGTTTTCCTCCAATCCCAGTGTTCCTACTCAGTCTACTCCAATGGCCCCTCCTGCTCCAGTGAATAGTCTCACCTACAGGTATACGAGCGGCACAAACTGAATGTAGTGGGATGAATGTATGAATGTATGAATGTATGAATGTATGAATGTATGAATGTACACCAAGTTGTGTGGAGGTGGGAGGTGCAGGGTATAATCTAG